GGTGACTGATGAGTTGTACGAAGGACGCATTTCGATATACCTCCTCAACTAGTTCCAGATATAGTAACTACGGATGCAGCATGCCCAGTGACGCAGCATGCCCAGTGACGCAGCATGCCCAGTGACGCAGCATGCGCGTGCGAATGTATTCGAGGTATAGTTTGTGTATGTGACAGATGGTGTTCGAATTTGGCTGAAGTAGGCTCGTAATGTATTGGTATGATTTTTGCTTCAAATGTGTGAAGTCCCGCCTTAACTTCCCAGTAACGTCCTTCTTTTTCCGTGTTTGCCAGAGTGATGTTAGGTGCCTTGTCAGTCGCGTCATGCATCTTAGCAGTCTTGAGCTGCGTGGTCTCAGCCGATATCTCGCCAAAACGCCAGCTGGTCTCATGTCGTTTTGAGCACGCGTTTTGTACGGCTCCGCTTGTCACCAAGCAAAATACTGTAGCTAAGGTTTTTATCGACTACATCCTCGGCAACTCATTACTAATAGTGTGCGGTGACGTGCTCGTGCACATTTTGCTGATGGACGATGGATGTTGCAGCTACGCATGTAAGATGTGTAGTGCATATTGCTGAACATTGCTAACACTTTTTCAAGCAAATCACGCGGAGGCAGCAATTCAACGAGGGTTGTCGGGAAGAATTTCGGTGTGCGAATGTATTGTTGTAACAGTTTAAACGACGTGACACTAGAAAGACCTTCGCCGCATGATCCTTAATCTGTTGAAGTGCTGAGATGAGATGATGTATCCGTGATGAACGTAGAAGATTGGTAAGTATTTGATACAGTCAGTCCGACGCTGCAGGCGTAAAAGAGGGTGTCAACGGCCGGGTTCGAGCCGGCGACCTTCTGCGTGTAAAGCATACGTGATGTCCACTACACTACGTCGACATGTGTTCACATCACTTTCTTCTTACAAATCGACACTCTGCACATTCTGGTCTACCTTATCGCAAATCATTACCAAACGAAGAACAACACCAGAAGTCAGGTTGCTCTTGCATTCCGTTACTTTGCATCTTGCGTTTGCGACCGCCAATACCACACGATAGCTCAAGCACTAACTCGCATTCTTTCACAAGTGAGTTTTTTTGCCGACGCTACTGGTGACGGCCTTGTCATTTAAAGTATACATCAATGGAGCACATCTATTCTTTTCAAATCTCCCAAATGTGTGCCGAAGTGTGGGATATCCGGGAGCTTGCACTGGTTGTAGTGACGTGTAAATGCAACCGTCGTCAGAAGACGAGTACCAAAATTTCGTCATTTCATGTATGTGCTATAATTTTCTTCTCACGTACGCGGTAATCGCCTATCTCTTTCCTATATCCAATTCAGAAAAGGACCGAGACTTGTCGGGCTAATGTGCCATGGATTAATCCTGCGAAGATTCTTTTCACGATGTATCGGGTTCGATGTCTGACGAGTTTCTTCTATGACAGTCACTTCTAACAAAAATGCTACGTATAAGCTCGTACGGTTAGGCCTCGCTAAGTGTTTTCGTACAACTCAGCAGTTTCATTCAGCAAGTTCATTACGATGACGTTCTCGACGGTTAACGGTGTGGAACACTCGGTGGTAAATAGCGTGACTTCTTTATCGTGTGCCTCAATTTCACACACCCACGCCGCGAGCTCTTGTGGGTTGCGGGAGAGCCGGAGTTGCTGCTCGCTTATCGTCTTGTGTGTATGAGACACTCCGCCATATTTTTAAAAAACCATCATGGCGCGATGTATGAAAAAAACTTGTGTTGTCGCAAATGGTGTGATGAAGTTAATCTTGGATGGATGTTAAAGATGGAGGCGCTGTACATTCAATCCATACTTGTACTCTTATCAACACCAACTTGTAGTCGGGTTTTTAATTGTGTATGTTGGTGGTATCATACGTGAAATACACAGAAAGACAAACAATAATTAATCTTTCTTAAAGAAAAAATATCGCAATGACAATAGGAATTCCGATAGTACACCGTGCGGATGCTTACAGGCATATCCACAAAAATGATGCGCTGACGACATAACTCCGGTGTCGTGCTGACACCATACTTTGAATCAATGTGACAGTCGACCCTGCAGCATCAAAATACATCGGGGGAACAGAAAAGATCCGTGGTACCTCACGTCATTTCGTATGAGCAGTGGAGGATTGATCACTTTGTGGGTCGCAAAATACATGCACTGAAGCGTTTTAGTCTTGTGGACTCGTCCCGTTTGGGAAGGCCACGAAAGTAACAACCAAAGGTTGTGACAAACATCGACAAAAAACTTACGAATTTGGCAAAGAGGCGTAGGTACTGCTAATGGTGTGACGTCTCCAGGTCGTTACCCGCACCAATTTATACTTCTCTGTTGCCATAACAATCAGTATTCGGTATACACAAGACGCTTAGGTACATTACCCGGACCTCTTTCATTTTCATCGGTCACCGTATGATGTCTTCTTCGTAGTAAGAACGATAGTGCAAGAAACTATTCAGCGTTCTTCTTAAGCTTCCTTTCAATCGGCCACCTTATCGTATTTCATCACCGTAGACTTGAAAGCGTAAGGCTTAGTGACAAGTTATCTGGTTCGATGTCTTAAATTAACTGCCTCGAAGGGGTGCTACATGTCAGGGAACTCGCAAGACGGGTATGGAACTCTGGGGAGCTGCGCCCCTGTTGATTGAGCCAGCGCTGTATATCAAGGACCTTGTACTACAACAGGAGCACGAAGATCGTGCATTTGTCGCAATAGTATCATCTTCTTCGACGCGAGTTTTACACAACGAATTTGAAAGCTGTAGTAATGTCCATCGTCGAGCTTCAAATCACATTCCGGCTCAGCGCGGCTGGCCGAGTTTGTTGTTCGTATCGCTGTGGCCGTCTTTGTACAAAACATGTTTCGAGTTTATGAAGTATGTGATTTTATGAATTGTTCAAATTCTCTTTGGGGTAGAAGTGGATGAGTGTGGTAGCTGAAAGCAAAAGAAAGTAAGACACCAGCACCGCCATACTCGGTGACAAGAAAGCGGTGACTGATGAGTTGTACGAAGGACGCATTTCGATATACCTCCCTCAACTAGTTCCAGATATAGTAACTACGGATGCAGCATGCCCAGTGACGCAGCATGCCCAGTGACGCAGCATGCCCACTGTCGCAGCATGCGCGTACGAATGTATTCGAGGTATAATTTGTGTATGTGACAGATGGTGTTCAAATTTGGCTGAAGTAGGCTCGTAATGTATTGGTATGATTTTTGCTTCAAATGTGTGAAGTCCCGCCTTAACTTCCCAGTAACGTCCTTCTTTTTCCGTGTTCGCCAGAGTGATGTTAGGTGCCTTGTCAGTCGCGTCATGCATCTTAGCAGTCTTGAGCTGCGTGGTCTCAGCCGATATCTCGCCAAAACGCCAGCTGGTCTCATGTCGTTTTGAGCACGCGTTTTTGTACGGCTCCGCTTGTCACCAAGCAAAATACTGTAGCTAAGGTTTTCCATCGACTACATCCCCGGCAACTCATTACTAATAGTGTGCGGTGACGTGCTCGTGCACATTTTGCTGATGGATGATGGATGCTGCAGCTACGCATGTAAGATGTGTAGTGCATTTTGCTGAACATTGCTAACACTTTTGCAAGCAAATCACGCGGAGACAGCAATTCAACGAAGGGTGTCGGGGAGAATTTCGGTGTACAAATATATTGTTGTAACAGTTTAAACGACGTGACACTGGAAAGACCTTCGCCGCATGATCCTTAATCTGTTGAAGTGCTGAGATGAGACCATAAATCCGTGATGAACGTAGAAGATTGGTAAGTATTTGATACAGTCAGTCCGACGCTGCAGACGTAAAAGAGGGGTGTCAACGGCCGGGTTCGGAGCCGGCGACCTTCTGCGTGTAAAGCATACGTGATGTCCACTACACTACGTCGACATGTGTTCGCACGATCTCCTTCTTACAAATACAGCATGAAATCTGATCTACCTTATCGCAAATCATTACCAAACGAAGAACAACACCAGAAGTCAGGTTGCTCTTGCATTCCGTTACTTTCATCTTGCGTTTGCGACCGCCAATACCACACGATAGCTCAAGCACTAACCCGCATTCTTTCACAAGTGAGTTTTTGCCGACGCTACTGGTGAAGGCCTTGTCATTTAAAGTATACATCAATGGAGCACATCTATTCTTTTCAAATCTCCCAAATGTGTGCCGAAGTGTGGGATATCCGGGAGCTTGCACTGGTTGTAGTGACGTGTAATGCAACCGTCGTCAGAAGACGAGTACCGAAATTTCGTCATTTCATGTATGGGCTATAATTTTCTTCTCACGTACGCGGGTAAATCGCCTATCTCTTTCCTATATCCAATTCAGAAAAGGACCGAGACTTGTCGGGCTAATGTGCCATGGATTAATCCTGCAAAGATTCTTTTCACGATGTATCGGGTTCGATGTCTGACGAGTTTCTTCTATGACAGTCACTTCTAACAAAACTGCTACGTATAAGCTCGTACGGTTAGGCCTCGCTAAGTATTTTCGTACAACTCAGCAGTTTCATTCAGCAAGTTCATTACGATGACGTTCTCGACGGTTAACGGTGTGGAACACTCGGTGGTAAATAGCGTGACTTCTTTATCGTGTGCCACCCCTTCACAGCATCCAAGCCGCGAGCTTTTGTAGGTTGCGGAGAACTGGAATAGCTGCTCGCTTATCGTCCTGCGTGTATGAGACACTTTCACGTCTATTGTGTTATTACTAATCGAACTCCCGGTCCGTTGTTCACGACAGGTTGCGGGAGAACTGGAGTAGCTGCTCGCTTATCGTCCTGCGTGTATGAGACACTTTCTCGTCTATTGTGTTATTACTTAATCGAACTCCCAGTCCGACGTTCACGACTAACCGCCTGGCGACAAGTACGCCAGTTTGTCGCGCCCATGGTTGTAAAAGGATATGGTTGAGGTCAAGAAGTGTGATGAGAGTGTGCATTGCGCGGTTGTGTCGTCGATTGAGATGACACGATGGCCGATTGGTCTAAGGTGCTGGTTTTAGGCACCCAGTCTTCGGGCGTGGGTTCGAATCCCACTCGTGTCAACCTTTATCCCGTTGCTCACTTTACTCTCTACCTGCGCGATTTTCCAACCAAATCGAGACGCAAAGCACCGGACTAGTAACTGTGCGGATGCCTACAGGCATATCCACAAAAATGATGCGCTGACGACATAACTCCGGTGTCGTGCTGACACCATACTTTGAATCAATGCGACAGTCGACCTGCAGCATCAAAATACATCGGGGAACAGAAAAGATCCGTGGTACCTCACGTCATTTCGTATGAGCAGTGGAGGATTGATCACTTTGTGGGTCGCAAAATACATGCACTGAAGCGTTTTAGTCTTGTGGACTCGTCCTGTTTGGGGAAGGCCACGAAAGTAACAACCAAAGGTTGTGACAAACATCGACAAAAAACTTACGAATTTGGCAAAGAGGCGTAGGTACCGCTAACGGTGTGACGTCTCCAGGTCGTTACCCGCACCAATTTATACTTCTCTGTTGCCATAACACTCAGTATTCGGTATACACAAGACGCTTAGGTACATTACCCGGACCTCTTTTCATTTTATCGGTCACCGCATGATGTCTGCTTCGTAGTAAGAACGATAGTGCAAAGAAAAACTATTCAGCGTTCTTCCTTAAGCTTCCTTTTCAATCGGCCACCTTATCGTATTTCATCACCGTAGACTTGAAAGCGTAAGGCTTAGTGACAAGTTATCTGGTTCGACGTCTTAAATTAACTGCCCTCGAAGGGGTGCTACATGTCAGGGCACTTGCAAGCCGGGTATGGAACTCTGGGGAGCTGCGCCCCTGCTGATTGAGCCAGCGCTGTATATCAAGGACCTTGTAATACACAACAGGAGCACGAAGATCGTGCATTTGTCGGCAATAGTATCATCTTCTTCGACGCGAGTTTTACACAACGAATTTGAAAGCTGTAGTAATGTCCATCGTCGAGCTTCAAATCACATTCCGGCTCAGCGCGGCTGGCCGAGTTTGTTGTTCGTATCGCTGTGGCCGTCTTTGTACAAAACATGCTTCTGAGTTTATGAAGTATGTGATTTTATGAATTGTTCAAATTCTCTTTGGGGTAGAAGTGGATGATGTGGTAGCTGAAAGCAAAAGAAAGTAAGACAATGGCACCGTTAGACTCGGTGATAAACAAGCGATGAATGATGAATTGTACGAAGGACGCATTTCGATATACTTCCGCGACTAGTTCCAGATATAGTAACTACGGATGCAGCATGCCCAGTGACGCAGCACGCCCACACGAATGTATTCGAGGTAAAAGTTGTGTATGTGACAGATGATGCTAAAATTGGCTGAAGTAGGCTCGTGATGTCTTGGTATGATTTTTGCTTCAAGTGTGTGAAGTCCCGCCTTAACTTCCCATTAACGTCCTTCTTTGTCCGCGTTCGCCAGGTTGATGTTAGGTGCCTTGTCAGTCGTGTCCTGCATCTTAGCAGTCATGAGCTGCGTGGTTGCAACCGATATGTTGCCTAAAACGCCAGCTGGTCTCGGGTCGTCTTGAGCACGCGTGTTGTACGGCTCCGCCTGTCACCAAGCGAAAGCCTGTAGCTAAGATTTTCCATCGACTACATCCCTGGCAACTCATTACTAAAAGTGTGCGGTGACGTGTTCGTGCACATTCTGCTGGTTGACGATGGACGTTGCAGCTACGCATGCAAGATGTGTAGTGCACATTGCTGAACATTGCTAACACTTTTGCAAGCAAATCACGCGGAGACAGCAATTCAACGAGGTGTGTCAGGGAGAATTTTGGTGTACAAATATATCGTTGTAACAGTTTAAACGACGCAATACTAGGAAGATCTTCGCCGCATGATCCTTAATCTGTTGAAGAGCTGAGATGAGATAATGTATCCGTGATGAACATAGAAGATTGGTAAGTATTTGATACAGTCAGTCCGACGCTGCAGACGTAAAAGAGGGTGTCAACGGCCGGGTTCGAACCGGCGACCTTCTGCGTGTAAAGCAGACGTGATGACCACTACACTACGTCGACGTGTGTCTGCATCACTTTCTTCTTACAAATCGACACTCTGCACATTCTGGTCTACCTTACCGCAAACCATTACCGAACGAAGAACAACACCAGAAGTCAGGTTGCTCTTGCATTCCGTTAATTTGCATCTTGCGTTTGCGACCGCCAATACTAAACGCTAGCTCAAGCAGTAACTCAACTTCTTTGACAAGTGAGTTTTTGCCGACGCTACTGGCGACGGCCTTGTCATTTGAAGTATACATCAATGGAGCCCAGTCTTTTCGAAGCTCTTAACTGTGTGTCGAAGTGTGGGATATCCGGGAGCTTGCACTGGTTGTAGTGACGTGTAAATGCAACCGTCTTCAGAAGACGAGTACCAAAATTTCGTCGTTGTCATGTATGTGCTATGATTTTCTTTTCATGTACGCGGTAATCGTCTCTCTCTTTCCTGTATCCAGCTTAGAGTAGGACCGAGACTTGCCAGGCTAATGTGCCATGGATTAATCCTGCAACAATTCTTGACGAGATGTATCGGGTTTGACGTCTGACGATTGCGTGACTGCTTTATCGTGTGCCTCAATTTCACGCACCCACGCCGCGAGCTCTTGTGGGTTGCGAGAGAACTGGAGTAGCTGCTCGCTTATCGTCCTGTGTGTATGAGGCACTTTTCTCGTCTATTGTGTTATCACTGATCTAACTCCCGGTCCGACGTTCATGACAAACCGCCTGCGTGACAAGTGTGCCAGTTTGTCGCGCCCATGGTTGTAAAAGGATATGGCTGAAGCCGCGAAGTGTGATAAGAGAGTGAGGTGTATTGCGCGGTCGTGACGTCGTTTGGGAAGACACGATGGCCGAGTGGTCTAAGGCGCTGGTTTTAGGCACCAGTCTTCGGGCGTGGGTTCGAATCCCACTCGTGTCAACCTTTATCCCGTTCCTCACATTTATTCTCTACCTGGGCGATTTACAACCAAATCAAGACGCAAACACCGGACTAGTAACCGTGCGGATGCTTACAGGTATAACCACAAAAGTGGTGTGCTGGCGACGTAACTCCGGTGTCGTGCCGACACCATACTTTGAATCACTGTGACAGTCGAGCCGAAGCGTAAAAAGACATCGGGGGAACAGAAAAGATCCGTGGTACCTCACGTCATTTCGTATGAGCAGTGGAGGATTGATCACTTTGTGGGTCGCAAAATACATGCACTGAAGCGTTTTAGTCTTGTGGACTCGTTCTGTTTGGGAAGGCCACGAAAGCAACAACCAAAGGTTGTGATAAACATCGACCAAAAACTTACGACTTTGGCACAGAGGCGGAGATACTGCTAATGGTGTGACGTCTCCAGGTCGCGTTACCCGCATTAACGTATACCTCTCTGGTGCCATAACAATCAGTATTCGGTATGTATAATACGCTTACGTGCATTACTCGGACCTCTTTCATTTTGATAGGTCACGGTATGATGTCTGCTTCGTAGTAGGAAGGATAGTGCAAGAAACTATTCAGCGTTCTTCTTGAGCTTCCTTTCAATCGGCCACCTTATCGTATATCTTCAACGTAAACTTGAAAGCGTAAGGCTTGGTGAAGTTACCTGGTCTGATGTCATATATCAGCTGACTCGAAGGGATGCCACATGTCGTGGCGCACGCAAGGCGCGTATGAAACTCTGGGAGTTGTGCCCTTGTTGATTGTGCCAGCGCTGTACATCAAGGACCTTGTACTACAACAGGAGCACGAAGATCGTGCATTCGTCGCAATAGTATCATCTCCTTTGATGCGATTTTTACACAACGAACTTGAAAGCTGTAATAATGTTCATCGTCGAGCTTCAAATCACATTCCAGCTCAGCGCGGCTGGCCGAGTTTGTTGTTCGTATTGATGTGGCCATCTTTGTACAAAACCTGCTTCGAGTTTATGAAGTATGTGATTTTATGAACTGTTCAAATTATCTCTGGCGTAGAAGTGGATGTTGAGGTAGCCAAAACCAAAAGAAAGTAAGACAATGGCACCGTTAGACTCGGTGATAAACAAGCGATGAATGATGAATTGTACGAAGGACGCATTTCGATATACTTCCGCGACTAGTTCCAGATATAGTAACTACGGATGCAGCATGCCCAGTGACGCAGCACGCCCACACGAATGTATTCGGATAAAAGTTGCATATGTGACAGATGATGCTAAAATTGGCTGAAGTAGGCTCGTGATGTATTGGTATGATTTTTGCTTCAAGTGTGTGAAGTCCCGCCTTAACTTCCCATTAACGTCCTTCTTTGTCCGCGTTCGCCAGGTTGATGTTAGGTGCCTTGTCAGTCGTGTCCTGCATCTTAGCAGTCATGAGCTGCGTGGTTGCAACCGATATGTTGCCTAAAACGCCAGCTGGTCTCGGGTCGTCTTGAGCACGCGTGTTGTACGGCTCCGCCTGTCACCAAGCGAAAGCCTGTAGCTAAGATTTTCCATCGACTACATCCCTGGCAACTCATTACTAAAAGTGTGCGGTGACGTGTTCGTGCACATTCTGCTGGTTGACGATGGACGTTGCAGCTACGCATGCAAGATGTGTAGTGCACATTGCTGAACATTGCTAACACTTTTGCAAGCAAATCACGCGGAGACAGCAATTCAACGAGGTGTGTCAGGGAGAATTTTGGTGTACAAATATATCGTTGTAACAGTTTAAACGACGCAATACTAGGAAGATCTTCGCCGCATGATCCTTAATCTGTTGAAGAGCTGAGATGAGATAATGTATCCGTGATGAACATAGAAGATTGGTAAGTATTTGATACAGTCAGTCCGACGCTGCAGACGTAAAAGAGGGTGTCAACGGCCGGGTTCGAACCGGCGACCTTCTGCGTGTAAAGCAGACGTGATGACCACTACACTACGTCGACGTGTGTCTGCATCACTTTCTTCTTACAAATCGACACTCTGCACATTCTGGTCTACCTTATCGCAAACCATTACCGAACGAAGAACAACACCAGAAGTCAGGTTGCTCTTGCATTCCGTTAATTTGCATCTTGCGTTTGCGACCGCCAATACTAAACGCTAGCTCAAGCAGTAACTCAACTTCTTTGACAAGTGAGTTTTTGCCGACGCTACT